GAGACAGGCGTCACTGTGAGATCACTGGGCACTCGCTACGGCCGGTCTCTGTTCACGTGTGGCCTTTATCCCTGTAACTGCGCTGCAGGGCAGAGATCGGTGGCCCACGTAGCAGAGGGCGAGTGGAGGCTCAGCGAGGTCAAGGGCCTGCCCTCTGCCGAGTGCAAGCTGGGCGCCAGTCCGGGTCTGAGGACACGCAGCTCGCGTTCTTCCCCTCGCCCTGGCCAGGTGCTCCCCGGCTTGCTCTGGTGGGGAGGAGTGGGCTCCGTGGTGGCACGCCCGTGGCCGTCAGAGCACGGGTGTCTGCGGGGCAGGGCACGGGGCAGGGAGGTCAGGCTGAGAGCCGGACAGTGGGCTGATGTCTGGCAGGCCCTGGCGGGGGGAGGCTGCCCCTCGAGGGCAGCCCCTGAGCTGGGGGTCCTGGCCTCTGGCCTCCACCTTGCCACTGGCTGCAGTGTGAGCTTGGGGAGGTCCTGTCAGGGTCGCTGTGGTCCCGCCGTGAGGTGGGCTGGTCATCCCGGCGGGGAGGAGAAACCTGGACAGGGCAGTTTCTCTGCCCCTGAAGGGTCCCAGGAGCTGGCTCACCGGCCTCCACTCCCAACCCGGGGCCAGAGCCTCGCCACCCGGAAGTCCTCCTTTGGTGTGGCCTCCTTCCCTCCCACTGCTGGCTGCCACAGCGCTCTGCGTGGGCCTCTGGGCCACGCTCCCTCACAGGCGACCACGGCTCAGCTCGTGGCCACATTCTTCTCATAGTTCCCCGAGCACAGCAAATCCAGCCGCTTAGCCAGGAATGCAGAGTCCCTCCTGCAGTGGCGGCAAGGGCCGGGTGGGGGCGGCACCCCCAGGGGTGGGGCTGGAGGGGCCCAGGGGGGTATGGAGGACGCCCCCACCCCGAACTCTGCGCCTCTGCTCTGGGAGCTGGGAGGCCGTCCTCGGAATCTCTGGACTCACTCGGCTGGGATCCAGGCCCTGGGACCGTCTCCACCGGCCAGCGAGGTGAGCTGGGACAAGCGGCTTCTCCCTGAGTGACCTCGGCGTCTTACCTGTGAAATGGGGGTCCAGCGTGAACTTTGAACCTTGTAGGGTTGCTCGGAGGGTCCTGGGGAGGGTACGTGCAGTAACAGCAGCAAGCCTTCCTGAGTACTCCTCCACACCAAGCAGCGCTGGGGGCGGCGACAGAAGCTGGCCTGTCACCCTCACAGGCCTCCGGGAGTAGGGCTGTAGTGAGAGGGAGGCCTGGGCAGGACCCTGCGGCTGAGCTTCCGGGCACGCTCTGCTAGAGGTGCGAGTGCGCTAGAGGAGGCACCCGACGGGGCCCTGTCTTCCAGTTCCATCCGTCAGGGTCTGGGCCTGCTTGAACACCCCATGTGTTTTTGAAGCTGGCAGGGCCAGGATTTGAACTGTGGTCAGCCGTGTGGGATCTAGTTCCCTGTGCACAGGGCTTAACCACTGTACCATGGGGCCTGCTGCCAATGAGGATTTTTTTCTTTTTTCCATAGGGCACATGCACTTGCTGGAGAGAGACAGAGGGAAAGTGAGAACTCAGTCCCCAGGGAGATGGTCAAATGCAATCTCTTTTCCTCCATTCTCCCCTCGGGAGAGGAGCCTGGTGTGCTTTTCAAACTGCTGGGTTCTGGACTCGAACCCTGGTTGGCTACATGGGAGTCCAGCTCCTTAACTACCACACCACCCACTGGGTCTGATTTTTTTTTTTTAATTGCTGGAGGATGCAGCCACTTGCCAGAGAGTGAGCGAGCGGCCCCAGTGGGGTGTGGTCACACACAATCCTTTCCCCCACATCTCCACCTGTCACGATTGGGCTCACAGGCACATATGCCAGCAGGTATCTCGAGCCACAGGTTCTGGATCCCAGCCCTGGTCAGCCATGTGGGCTCCACTGCGCTGTGGGGCCGGCCCCCACCGGCTTTGAAACAAGCCTCTGCCCCAGGAGGGGCTCACAGATTGGGCTTTTCTCCCTCAAGCCCCAACTCCCGGACAAACCCATTGCTTACCTTATGGCCGTCAGCACCCCAGCTGGGAAAGCCACAGCGGGAAGCTGACCTGGGCCCTGACGACCTTTTTGGGAGCCCTGCAGCCCTTGGAAGCTGCTGGGGCAGGGGTCGCAGACACCCCCCCCCCATCTGGTTCGGGATTTAGCTCTGTACTAAGGGGAGATGTCTCCAGGGGCAGGGCTCAAGGAGGGGATTAGGGAAGGCAGCTGGAGCTGGGGTGGGGGTTAAGAACACAGTCCCATTGAAGTCAGTGCAGGCACTCCCAGAACACTCAGCCACCCTGACTTCCTATTTTGTTGACCCCATGGGCCTTGGTCCTGGGGGTCCTGAGCCCTCGGTAGTAGCTGCTGCTCCTCTGCCAGCCGAGCCTGTCCCCGGTGGGCTGAGGTATGCGGGGGGAGCAGATATGGGGAGTTGGACCCTGGTGGTCTCCAGGAGGCCAGGCACACAGGCCTTCAGCCGCCTTGGGGCTGGCCCCGCGCCCCTCTCTCCTTGCCCCAAAACCTTGCAGGATAGAAGTGACCCTTCTGGGCCTCCCGCTTCTCCTTGGTGAGATGGGATGGCAGCCCCAGCCTGGCAGTTACAGGAGGGCCTGATAAAGTAACGGTGAGGCGAGCCTCGTTCCCTGCCGGAGGCATACGGGCACTTGGGGAGAGGCCACTGCTGCTCTCATTTAAAAGTTTATTCATTGATGTCTTCCATGAACGAGTGGGAAGGAGGCGGGGAGAGCGGGCACCAGCCAGTCCTGGGCCGTGGACACGCGTGTGCCGGCACACTGGGGCGGCCTTGGGCTTGGAGCAGGACGCTCCCCGCATGGGGCCGTCGCGGAGCACTGCTGTGCCCTGTGCAGCCCTGCGGCCCCCGAGCCTGACAGCACTGGGAGCTCCGGGCTGGCCCTGGGCTCTGACGCTGGTGGTCAGCGTTTCTGTTGGCCCAGCCTCGCTCGCACTTCCCACGGCGCGGTGAGGTCAGGAGCCCGGGGAGCCGGCAGCGGCGCTTCAAATTCAGGCCTTCCCCTAGTGCCAGCTACTTTGCCCTTCTCTCCCTCTCTCTCTTAATTTTGCTAGAGTTTGCGTACTCTCTGGGGAGGGCAAGTGAGAAAACATCCCCTGCGGGGTGGTCATGCCACAGGCTCTTCTCTGTTTTCCCTTCGGGATTTTGATTTTGGACACACACACCAGGCGTGAGTTTCAAGCCACCAGGTCCGGGACTCAGACCATGGTCACCCATGTGGGAGTCCGGCGCCTAAACCACTGTGCTGCGGGCTGGCCCAGTGACTTAACCTGTCCCTTAGTGTCCCCGTTCGTAGCAAGGGCAGATGACGTGCCCGCGTCACTGGCCGTGGGGACTGAACGAGCTAGCCCGTGAATGGCAGCTACCCGGACAGGTCCCCAGGTGTGCCCCAGCCATAGGTGCGTGGCGAGTGTCAGCTGTGACCACACTGTGTTGTCTGCAGGTTGCCACCCTCCCCGGCCCGTGTGTGCTCGGAGCTCTCACCTCCAGACCCACACACAGTGCTCCTTCGGCGTCTCCCCACCCCAGCCAGCTAAACCCATGTTCGTCCCTCAAACCCCAAACCTGGCCGAAGTCACTCCCCTTCCCCAAGCCTCCTGATGGGGTAGGGGCTGGATCAGAGAGGTCAGGGTTAAGCTGAGCAGTGAGGCCCCCACACCCAACCCAGGCTCCACCAACTAGGCCAGGGTGTACGGCAGCCGCCCAGGCTGCTGGGCCACCTCTGGGGTCGCGGTGTTCCCAGTCGCAGGACGGAGGCAGGGCTCTGCCGGGGGAGGGCAGGCCTCAGCCTCTGGCCTCCGCGTCTGGCTGCTTGTGAGCTAGAGGCCGGGTTGGGATGTCAGAGTTTCCATGGGAGCCGGCAGAGGCAAGCAAGCAGCTGGAGGAGAGAGTGACGCGGCCGGCAGTCCTCCCTGCCAGGTGGGCTGGCTGGGCGTCCCCTCCCGGTCCGCTCGGGAGTCACTTCGGGGTCTGGATTCCAGCCCCAGCTTCTCTGTGAACAGCGGCATGACCTTGACGAGGGCTTTTGACAGGGCCTGGCACTGTGCTTGGCTGAGGTGGAAATGGGGACCTGGCCATCCTGGGCTCTGATGACATCACCTCCCCACTCCACGACCTTCTGTGGCTCCCCACGGCTTTGCAGGGACATGCAAGCATGGCATCCAAGACTCCTCGCCATGTGACCCCACCCTCCTCAGTCCCCCCTTGACCTTGACCCCTGCACTTGGCCTTCCCTGGGCCTGCAAACAGCTTCCTACTGCCAGGATTTCCCATTTTTTGAGAGAGAGAGATTTTTGCCGTTATAGGGTATGTGTGCTTGCTAGATAAAGTCAGAAATCACCCCCCAGGGGGGATGGCCACACCACATTCCATTCTCCTTCTGGGATCTTGGGCACACATGCATGCTTACTGGGTATGAGTTTCAAGCCGCCGGATCTGGGATTCGAACCATGGCCAACCATGTGGGAGTCCAGCACCTTCACCACTGGCCTGCTGGCCCCATTAAATTCCTTTTCTTACCTCGTCTGCCTCAGATGCCTACTCATCTTGCAGGATCCAGGCCCGGTGTCACCTCCTCCATGAAGCCTTCTGGGGAAGGTGAAGAGGGAGGTGGCGCTCCCTGCTCCCCAGCCCAGCACTCTCAGGCAGGGTGTGACATCCTCACCTGATGCCACAGTCCTTTCAGGGCAGGACATGAGCTGAGCCTTTCTGTGGCCGAGGTCCAGCCTTGGGTCCCCACGGAATAGAGCCTCCCCAGGGGGGATCCCAGCCCATCAAGGAGCCACCCTCAACCAGGGTCTGCAATCTAGTTACGGGGTGGCCCCAGCCTGGGCCCTAGGACAGGAGGGACTCCAGCAGCCCAGGCCACCCCCAGTGGGCACTGCGAGGGTGCACTAAATGATGGCGTGGCGCGTGTGGGTGCACACCTGGCTCCCCGGGGCAGGGCTGAGGAGCCAGCCCAAGGTCGAGGTCACCAAGGCCCCAGCAGGGCACAGGCGCCGCTGCGGCTTAGGGCAGGAGGGCCCGGCCTGCGGCTCTCACCATCTCTCCTGTTCGCCCTCAGGTCCTGCGTCTCTGGGACCTGCCCAGGCCCCTCGGACCTGAAAGGTAAGCTAGATTCGAGGCTGGGGCTTCTTGACCTCCCAGCCTGTGCTCATCGCCATCTGACCTGGCAGGGGCAGGTCCCCTCCTGCTGCAGGGGACGCCCTTGCCAGGTCTGAGTATCAGCCCCTCCTGCAGGTGACCTCAGCGGCCTGCCGCCTGCCTTTAAAACCCGGCCCAACTCGGAAGCAGCTTTTTCTCATTTGTGAGCTATTTCGCCGGCTCCCTGGCGCTGCCGTGTTTGCTTGGCCCGGCCTGGGTGCAGTGGCCTGGCCCTGCTCCCGCCGGGCCTCCTCCCTGCCCAGCCCGGCCCCTCCTGCTGCCGCTGCCGCCGCCGCCACCATGCGGGGAAGCCGCGGAGGCCCAGGCATCGTGCCCGCGAAGGCAGCGGGGGGCGGTGGCGCGCCGGAAGGCCGCAAATGCGAACCAGAAGGCCAGGAGGGGTTGGAGACTGAGGAGGCCCCGCCTGCCTCCGCCGGGGCCTGGGGGTGGCTGGGCTTTGGGGGCCCTCAGTTGTCCAGAACCGGCAGAAGTTAACAGTCCCTGCTGGAAGGCAAAGCCGGGGCCCCAGCGCAGGTGGCCGGAGCCGTTGGTGGGGAAGAACCCGCTGCCCTGGTGCCCTGGAGGGCACGTTGTCACCTTGGCGGGTGTCCCTCTCTGGCTCACCTGCCCCGCCTGGCTCTTCTCACCTCCTTGGACAGTGTGCTGCCCTGAGATGCCCCTTTCCTGCCAAGTAGTGGGGCACCCTGGCCAGAGAGGGCAGGGGCAAGGCCTGAGGAGTGGAGCCGGCCACCTGCAGGGACCCAGGAAGGGAGTGTGGCCCAAGCCCTCTAGCCCAGAGCCGAGGACTGGAGAGGAGCCACACTGAGA